TCAACAGCCAAATGAAGAGGCGTCTTTCCTTGATTGTTCCTTAATTTCACGTCACATCCGCTTTCCAGAAGTAGTTGTACTATGGAAGGGCTTTCGTCGATGATAGCAAACATCAAAGGCGTCATGCCCTCATTGTCACTAAAATCCACTATCGCTCCACATTTTATCAACTTGGATGCTAATTCAATTTGGTTCGGGTTGTCTGATTTAGATATATAACACAGTGGTACCCTTCCTAAATCGTCTTTTATGTTAATGGCAGCACCACTCTCGATTAGAAGTTTAGCATGTGTGGACTTTCCTTGCAAAGCAGCTAAATGCAGAGAAGTTTTACCATCATGGTTAGGAATATCTAAATCACACTTTTGCTCCAGAAGTTTCTTAAAAACTTCAGTTAGCGCATAGCTGATGCTATACATTAACGGAGTAGAATTTATTTGATCAGCCGAATTTACATTGGCTCCATGATCAATCAACACAGTAGAGGTTTCTTCATGTCGGTTCTTGACAGCGGCTAAAAGAGGGGTTTCGTTATCTTTCTGAACGTTGTTTACGTCTGCGCCATAATCCAAAAGATGTTCAACCTCGTCTGTCCTACCGTGTTTCGCGGCTATAAACAGATCTTTATCTATTCGGTGCATGTTTGGTTACGATGTCGTGAAGTAACTGAAAATGTAAATTTGCGCAGTAATTAGTGGCTTTGCCACAAATGTTAAAAAATACAACCAATTTCATGAAATTACCTTACAACCATAGATGGATAAGGTTAACTACGTTGTGTCAAAATACTCATTTACCTTCACTCCCAAAATAACTAACAAAAAGCTTTATATCTAGCTCAAAGCCATTGCGTTTCTTCCTAGTCCTTTGCATGATATAACCTACTAAATCAAGATATGAAGCTTTTGTGTATTCGATATGTAGTCCGAACTTAAGAAAACATTTTAAACACAGGTTGTTCAGATAGATTGGGATTTCATTCCGAAAAATGTTATTGGTGGCTGAAATTGTAATATTAAGCTTTCATCAAAAATGTCTGTGTTAATCAGAATCAGCGAGACCAATCTAATCAAAATCAGATTACAATTTTCTTTTTTTTTTACATTTTTCGTTTTCTGATATTTTAGTCTACATTGTAATTAGATTGATGCTAGACACAGCCTGTAATCCTTTTTAATAATGTGGCAAAAATCTAGCGGTCGGGAGAATGGTCCTGGAAACTTCAAACAGTAATTACCTTTTCTCTAGACATCATGTGTATAATCATATTTTAAATTTCTTGTTTTTATTTATATATTTTTTGTCAAGTTTGCCATGAGTCATTTGCCCCATTTGCTGCTTACACGACGTAAAAACGGCCCTACAAGTAAATATTTCGAAAAAAGCTGACCATTGCCCAGCCTTATTTAGATGAACGGTAACTAGTAAAATTATCTATCAGTAACATGTTAAAGATGATTTCGGATCATATTTAATGATGTATACGTATATGATTTACCTTATATCAATAATAATTCAACAATATGATTTCAAGTTCTTCCCACACCTGTACTGTTAGAATACTGAAATAGGCATTGTGTTGAGTGCATAAACGACTCTACTTTAACTTGTGACTGTTTATTTGACTATATATATTACATACTTTATTAGGTGCATTCAAACACAACGACCAATCACAAGACATTAAAAGGAGTTTCTCTTTAAATAGAAGTCTTAGTAACTTCCTGCTTACCGAGATTTGAGTATCGGGGGATATTTGCTTATCCAGCTGATGTCAACTTTTTAGAATTAAATTATGGCTCCAAGATTATCTACAATCTATTTAATCTCTGAAAGTTAAATCAGACAACACCTGTGAGGCTGTTATTCAACAAAACTCTACCTTTTTATTCAAAGATATCCAATAATCATTATACAGTAATGTAACGTAATTAATAAGTTACTGAAACTTAAAAGATATTACCTCTTTGGTGTTTTTTTCTTCAATATTATTATAGCAACTGCGTATTATGCAAAAAAAGCTTGCCAAGACAAGTCGATAAAAGCCCATAATAGCAATTAATCATATTGAGCTAGCCCGGCTACACTTCAAGTACTATCTTAGAAGCTGGAGTTATCTCCCCTACTTGGATGACAGCATTCTTATTAGAATGCCTTCATATTGATTGTATCATTGAAATAACATGCTTGATTATATAAAGTTTATTATGCACAATCATTGTGATCTAACTACATATTTACACTAAAGTTCTCACTTTATATTCAATTTTGTTTCCTTTACATATACACACAAAATCTTTTGGATATCGCTTGAAAATTCAACCAATGAACGCAAAAAAAATCTACATTCAATCCTTAATTAACATTGTAGAAAAGTACGTCTCCTACGTAGGTTTCAACTAATAATACCAAGCCATTATAAAGCCAAACACCAAAACTTGGCGAAAAAGAAATGGACCTAACACTCCTTTTTTCCACTTCTACCAGATTATTGAAATCTACGGAAAACACTTTCCGTGTGAGTTTCCTTTGATTTTCAAAGTCGATTCAATATATATATATAGCATTTCTATTACAGTGTACCACCAGAGTTCTCTTCAACAAATCTTTTTGTTTCAGGATATTTTTCAAACACTTTCACCATTCTAGGGTCTTGTGCCACAGATAACAGTAGAGCCGGTGAACAAAATCCTGTTTGTTTCGCCAGTTTTACAATTTCAAGACCATCTTTACCCAACCGAAGCGCAAAATGAATTGCAGATTGTTTTTGCTTATTTTCGATTGTCCAATCACATTCATTTTTCAGAAACATCTTAATTATTTCCATATTCGGAGTTTTGTCCCTTGGTATACTGGATAGGTATAAGTTCAAAGGAGTGTCTCCGTCGCCATCTTGAATATTAACATTAGTTCCGTAATCTAGTAAAAGGTGAATTGAATCAATGAGATGATTCTGGCAAACAATGTGTAAACCCGTTTTCATCTTCGTTGCTTGAGCATTGACATCGCAACCTTTCTGAATCAGGGTTTCCGCTATATCAGTCATGTCATTGCTCAGAGCATGCATTAAAACGCCCCATCCAAAAAAATCCACTGAATTAATATCTGCTCCTCGATTGATGAGGGTCAGTGCCCCTTTCGCGTTTTTGTGCATGATTGCCCGGATGAGAGGCGTGGATTTGTCGTTGTCTTGATCGTCAATCGGGACACCATGCTTCAATAGAAGGTCAATAGTATTTCCCTTTTTACTTTCAACAGCCAAATGAAGAGGCGTCTTTCCTTGATTGTTCCTTAATTTCACGTCACATCCGCTTTCCAGAAGTAGTTGTACTATGGAAGGGCTTTCGTCGATGATAGCAAACATCAAAGGCGTCATGCCCTCATTGTCACTAAAATCCACTATCGCTCCACATTTTATCAACTTGGATGCTAATTCAATTTGGTTCGGGTTGTCTGATTTAGATATATAACACAGTGGTACCCTTCCTAAATCGTCTTTTATGTTAATGGCAGCACCACTCTCGATTAGAAGTTTAGCATGTGTGGACTTTCCTTGCAAAGCAGCTAAATGCAGAGAAGTTTTACCATCATGGTTAGGAATATCTAAATCACACTTTTGCTCCAGAAGTTTCTTAAAAACTTCAGTTAGCGCATAGCTGATGCTATACATTAACGGAGTAGAATTTATTTGATCAGCCGAATTTACATTGGTTCCATGATCAATCAACACAGTAGAGG